GGCAATATGGACTAGACATGAAAAGACTATCACAATAATCACATAGTAACACATGCAATTAGGTGATCATTTCCATTCCAGTCAATTGATTTTATATATTTATCCTACTTGTGCTTGACATGGTTTGTTATCTTGTTGCTTCCACACCTTTTAAAATTCTCTGCTCTGTGTCTATCTCTACCCTCAGAGCTCTCTTCACCTCTTGGAGCGACCCAGACAAACAGGTCTTCAACATACCTGGCTTGTCTCCTGAGATGATGGCACTCATCATTGACTTTGCATACACTGGCAGTGTTTCCGTAACAGAGGAAAACGCAGTGGAACTATTCATGGCAGCTGATCAACTCAATGTAATGGACATTGTAAAAATCTGCAGTGACTTCCTCGGGGAACAACTCTGCGCAGAGAACTGTGTTGGCATTTGGCAGTTCACAAAAGCACACTTATCACCCGAACTACGTGCCAAGGCCTTCCACTACATCATCAGTAACTTTGAACAGGTGGTTCTTCAGGAGGAGTTCCTGCAGCTAACTGTGGAGGAACTTGGTGATATTCTTGAAAGAGATGACCTCAATGTACAGTGTGAGGACACTGTGTTTGAAGCACTTATGAAGTGGATTAGCCATGTGCCTGCAGAACGGGAACAACACTTCATCGCTCTGTTGTCTAAGGTGTATAAACTTCCATTACTACATTTAGTTTTGACTTAAATCTTCAGCATTGATGTCATAGATTAAGTCAATCCATCTGGGTATAAGGATGCTTTAATATCTCGAGATGTTGCTCTTTTCAGCTGTAGCTAAACCACATTTAAGCAATTCTCTTGAAGATCATTAAAACTGTATCAGAAAGCTTCTCACATATTATAGAATAAATTATATTTAGTGTAGTTGCTAGGCCTATGACTAAAAACTGTCCATAACAAGTACAACCATTCTCCCCTGTTTGTGTTCCTCAGCTTTATTTTATTTTATGTCATTTGTTTTTTTATATAAAGTTAAACTTAACACATTAGATTTAAAATTTATCTTTATTAGAACTGTACAAAGGACTTTTGTCTATGTTGACAAAATGCTAATGATGTCTCACTTTGGCCTCCCTCTTGCTAGCAATAAGAAGATTAAACAACATTACGAGCATTATCCTAAAGAAGCTTGAGTTTGCTAAAACTGAAATAGTTTGAATTCAATGTTTCCATTGTCTAAGTCCTATTCTCTTCTGTCATCTCGCTGTAGGTCCGACTGGGACTGATGACTTTAGACTACCTAAGGAACAATGTGCGGCTCAATCAGTTGGTGCGGACCAGTTCTGACCGTCGGTCCATGATAAAGGGTGCCATTTTATTGACACAAAATATGACCAACAGACCCTATGTGCTTCGCCTCTGTCCCCATTTTGCTCGTCCCCGCCTGCCTCATTCCATCCTGCTGGCCATTGGGGGATGGAGTGGCCGTGATCCAACTAACGCCATTGAGGCCTACGATTACCGGGCTCAATGCTGGGTCAATGTAGCAAACAACCTGGAGCGTCCTCGTGCCTATCATGGAGCCGCCTACCTCAACGGGTACGTCTACTCCATTGGTGGCTTCGACAGGGTTGAGCATTTCAACAGCGTCCGTAGGTTTGACCTGACCACTCGCACCTGGAATGAGGTGGCACCCATGTACTGCCGCCGCTGCTATGTGAGCGTGACTGTGTTGAACGGGTTCATCTATGCCATGGGAGGCTACGATGGGCATGTACGACTCAGCAGTGCAGAGCGCTATCAACCTGAAATCAACCAGTGGAGTCTTATTGCATCCATGCATGAACAGAGGAGCGATGCCAGCTGCACAACACTTCACAGCCGGGTGGGTAAAGCAAAAGAACAGGAGAGAAATAGAGTAGGGTCTCAGGCACACAGGCCTAGAGACCTGTCAGCAACCTTTTGGTAACAACCAGTTGCTAGTGAAAAATATGTATTCCTCGGTTGGTTAGGGAGTGGTTGTATGAAAAACACTGACTTCTACAAATAGTTTGTGAGTGTTTGCAGACAAGTCAGAGTATTCCATG